TTTTATGTTGTCGCAGGAGAGGAATCACACAACAAGGTTGTAAACAGAAAATGTCCCCAGAGGGTGGATTTATTGAACAAAATACGTGATTTAAGTGGAGGTCTTAGGGTGCCCGGTGCTCGAGCTATCTTCTTCTTCCTTGTGCGTGCCGGTGAGTTTCCCAGTGGTGCTCGTGAAGGTGATATCCTCGGAGGATCGGGCTTCGGGGAGGAACCGTTTCGTGGGCTCACGGGCTGCCTGTGGTGGAGAGAGAGAGACAGAGGCAGAGGCATTAGCTGCTGCACTCGTTGGAGGTCAAGCTCACACTGGCTTCCTCTGCTCTCTCTCTTATGCTGCCGCGCTGGCTGTTCCCGATCCTCCTATGATGACGGGCGCCAGGTGTTCCCTTTTTATGCCAGGACCACGATGATTGGAATGGACTTCCGTCACAATGTATTATGCCAAAAAGCAAAAGTAATGAGAGAAAATAAAATTAATAGATGCTTGTGCAAAGATAAGGTCAAAACAATGTGAAAATGTTATCAAAAAGCCCAAACTTTGAAAAACACAAGCCCATATGACAGGTCTTGTATTTCCAATGGTAATTTTTTTTCTTTTCCTCCCTAGATGGCACTGTTGCCACTGATTTAGGGTCTGTAAAATGAAAGAAGATTTTCTCACATTTTAATTTGAACTATCTCGCAAATTATGTGTCAAAACTCTTGTAATGGTCGTTAAAACCAAAACTATCAAAACGAATAACCTACGGGTTATATTTGAAATCAAAATGAAATAATAGCTGGGTCACGTCACTCCTACTTATTCGCACTGGTGCGTGTAGAGACTTGACAAAATAAAACGAGAATGACAAAATAAAACCCTGATTAAAATACCACAGTAAACCGCAACAAAAATAATTGAATATTAACATATAAGCTTATGGGTAACTTTTGAAGATTTAGGTACATGATTGGTTGAACACTTCTTTACTTTTCCTTTAGAGGTGTTTCTTTTTGTTTGGAATAAAGGTATTTTGACCAGTTTGAAAAGACATTAGCATGAGCAGGGCATGTTCTTTAAAGCTCCGAAGAACTGTGATGAAAGATTG